TGCTATTGTCACCGTGAATTAATAACCGAGAGAAGTGAGCTTTGGTGTGACCTTATCTGTACAATAGCCGCCTATTCATAGACATCTATTGACATCAGTGCAGAGGTTAAACCCTTTGAACAGCTTGTAGAGTGCTTTACCTTGTTCGTGACACCCTACATATATATTATTTCCTATTTTTTTAAATTATTGTTTAGTTTATATATGGTGGGGGTGCACATCTCAGCTTCCCATCAACCACTTAACATCATTAGAGTTTTGTGGAAGAGGCCCCTTAAAAGGTATCTAATTCCAAAAACAGTCCTTAAATGTGGTGTTTGCATTGGTTTCCTCTATTTCAGGCCTTTTCTTTTTTTCACCCGGTGATCCTGCCATTGACACACTTCCTAAACTAGATTGTCAACACTCAATTATTGTTCTGTATCTATGGAGAAGCAATATTGTCACCCTATGACAGATCTACAGAACACCTCCCCCTCTACCCATCTCCATAACATAGGGGGGCATGGTGCTGTAGTCCACTGAAATTGTTGGGAACAATGCTAAGTGATGAGTTGCATCACATGCAGAGGAAGGAAAAAATGTCACCAGCACACCGAGGATCACCAATATGGGTCCAAAGGTTTTAACAAACCATCACATAGTTACAGCAAGGCAACGTTTCGGAGTCTCGCAGGACCCCTTCATCAAGCATGTGACACATGCCTGATGAAGGGGTCTTGCGAGACTCCGAAACGTTGCCTTGCTGTAACTATGTGATGGTTTATTAAAACCTTTGGACCCATATTGGTGATCCTCGGTGTGCTGGTGACATTTTTTCCTTGCTGATTCTGTTCGGTTCCAGCCGACGGTCACTGCAGCACCCACTTATACTCACAGCCATTTTAACGCAGGAACGTGTGCGTTTGGATCATACACTTGCATCACATGCAGAGAGCACAGAATTCTGGCAGGATCAACAGGTATCATCATTTAAAATTGTTTCAGATTTTCATTTTTATGTGTAAATATAAAATATAGTACATGAATATATCTTATTTATGATTTCTAGCCAGAAATATCAGCTGCTTTGCTGAAAAAAGTATTGGTTACAGAGTAGCTGAAATTCAGATACAGCTCAGGGAATCAGAGGAGTGACCCTTCGTTCCCTACCTCCCTGCTCTGCACAGCTCTGTATGTAATTTTTGTTAAGAAATAAATTTAAAGGGAAAAGCTACTGCTGTGCCTTATTTTTAAACAGAGCATACTGCTTTGTGAAATGAATGTCATGGGTGCATTCTGCATTCAATAAAATAAAATGCAGTTGGACAAAATGTGAAACAATATTTTTCTTTAAGCCATTTTTCAGCATGCTCCTTACTCCTTCTCCAAACCCCAGTCCCTTAGTCACTTGTACTCAAAACCTTTATGAGAGGCTTGGAGAAGAAGAGGCTAGTGCACATGTGTCAAACACAGGGCCTGCGTGTCGGGACGTGCAGCTTGATGCGGGCAGTAAATACACAGAGACCGGTTGCAGTAAAACTTGGAATGCCAATGTTGCAAACTCCCAGGCAGGAGAGCACCACTAGGAAAATAACTCACAGTTCAATGTAGTCAGATGTAGGAGGAGGAGGGGTGTCGACAGTGTCCGTTTCAGATGGTGAAGTGTGGCCTGGTCGATCTGGTCTCAAGAAGGAAGCTCCTTTCCAGTTACTTTCCCTAACAAGCGGGGTCTCTCTCCTTACACTAGCCACACATCAGAAGTGCACCAAAACCCATTGGGAGGGACTTAAATAGACCCTGCTGACCCAAGATGATCGCCAAGGGTCACATGGGTGCAGGGTGGTTGTGGATTCTCCCCTGGACCAGAACAATTTGGAGTACTAGTTGGGGTGGCCAGATTGGCTGAATTCTCAGCTCCAGAGCCTTCAGGCTCAGGTTCACTGGGAACTGGCAGTTCAAGCTCAAGGGGTGGCAAGAACCAGTCCAGGGGTGTCTCTTGCACCAATGGGAGGTCATCGGGGTCAAAAGCTTTCGGGTCCTCAACAGACTCCTCGGAACACTCACCACCCAGTACACAAGGCCTCAACATATTGCGATGCAACCACTTCTTGACAGGGTTGGGCTCCTCAGAGACCAGGTCATAGACAAGGGTAGGCAGGAATGGTTGCCTCACTACCCGGTATGGGGTGTGTTCCCACTTAGGCTCCAGCTTACTACCCCTGGTGTGTTTTGTATTCTTCACTAGCGCCTGGTCCAGATGTTTGACATGGTCTTCTTGGAGAAGATGATGAAGTCATTTTCATAGATCAATACAGTCTCGAAGTTGAAATCTCCCAGACATCTTTCCCTTAAGCATTGAAAGGCACTGGGGGCATTGTTGAGGCCAAAGAGCATTCAGTTAAATTCAAACAGCCCCAAGGGCAGGATGGAGGCAGGTCCAGGGTGGAGAAAAACTTTGTTTGTCCCAAAGCCATCAGGGACTCACGCGGCGCACAAGGACAACGGGGGCAGCCCAAGGATAGCAACTTTCCCGGATCACTTTCCCCTGCAACATGCTACGGAGCAAGTACTTGACCTCTTGACATCAAGCTGGGAGAATATGCTGGTACCGCTTTTGGATAGGTGGTGTGTCTCTGGTGTTATTTGTGTGGTCAATGGCCTCAGTGTATCTTCCGGACTAGTGGCGAACACTAGGAGATGGTGGAGTAGTCTCTGTTGGGGTAGGGAAAAATCTTTGAACTGGAGGTCCAGTTGTTCTAGCAGTGACTTGTATTGGGCTTTGTCACAGGATGCCATAGTTGCCTGTAGGTAAGCACACATGGCCTCCACCCCAGGTTGAGCCTCAGAAATGCAGTGGTGGGGAACCATGTATAAGTGAGCGAGGATGGTGTGCTGGGTGTGTGATGGGCATATCACCCAAGTTAATGAACCTAACTAAGCTGCATGCCCCCTTCAGACCTTGGATAAGATTCAGCTCACCAGCCACTCTCACAAAATAGTTGCATCCTTGCGGGGTTCATCCTTGACACTACCTCTTGTAAGAGTGCTAACAATAACTTCTGTTTAGGGGGTGACCGTACTACCACTACATTTTTCAATTGGTTTTTTTTGCTACCGTCCATTGGGCTTTAAAGGTCTGAAGCACTGAGCCACACTGCTCATCAGCCCGAACTATTTACAATTATTTTTTTATAATCATGTCCCTTTATGCCTTTAAAGTGCACTTTACAAAGAGTTTTGAACAGATAAAACTTTTTTTGACTTTTTTCTGACCTCCGGAATGGATTAATTGGCTCTCTCAGATACAAACAATCTTCCTCTGGCCTTTCTCTTTAGGCTTACGTCTGTCTCCTGCAGACTCCTTCAAAAATGGCTCTCGCACACAGCTAGCCACTAGCACACAGCTACTACTGAGCAGCCCCTTGCTGCTTTTGGCTTCCACCTCTCCTAGGTGAAGCCCAGCTGACTTCAAGGCAGTGACCTCCTGCCTGCCGGGGTGGAGCCCTCCTGACTCCTGTCTGCTGAGGTAGAGCCCAGAACCCTGGTCCTGATTCTACAAAAGAGCTATGCACACCTGAGCAATCAGTATCCTGGCCATTCCCAAAACCTGGTCCCAGGATTGGAGATTTCATCCCTCCCAAATCGCTTTGAAATCTCCAGGCTCCAGGTCCCAAAATGGACCTTACAAACAAATGAGGAAAGTGAAAAGCCACTTTCCTCTGTATCAAACACTTACCCTGGAGCCCCTCAACCTGCCTTGTTGAGAATCCTGGGTTAAATAACCTTTCAACATCGTGACAGATCGCCACACTGTCACTATATATATATATATATATATATATATATATATATATATATACTTGTTTTTTTTTATTTATATTTAGTAACTGTCTCAGACCATAGAGGTTACAGAATTTTTAAAGTTATACACCTATTGTTGTCACAAACTCTCTCCCTTGCTGCTCTTTATGTCCGTATAGTATAGATAGAGTGACAACACTTTTCATAGCATGCAATTGTACAGACTGAGTTTCTCTGTCCTGCTTCTTACCTCCTATTTCAGCTACTAGTCACTGACATCATCACATTAGTGACATACACTTTCAATCAGAGCTTTTTTTTTCTGTGGGAATGTGGGGGACACAGTCCTGGCATCCCTTAGCACTAAATGTATGTAATGGCAAGGGGTATCGGGGGGTGCTGGTTGGTTTATTGATATGCTGGCTGCCTTGGGATGTATTGTCACTGGGAGGGACCTATTGTTGTGGGAGAGTCTATTGTTGCTGGGGAGGTCTATTGTTGCTGGGGGATTCTTACGTTTGCTGCGTGATTTATTGTTGATGGGAAGGATCTACTGTTGATTGAGGAGTCTATTATTGATGGCTACTGCAGGATCGATCGATGTTAATTTCTGGAAGATCTGTTGTTGCTGGGGGAGGGTCTGTTGTTGCTGAGGGGCCTATTGTTCTTGTGGATATCTATCGTAGCTGTGTGTGTGTGTGTGTGGGGGGGAGTATTGTTGCTGAGGGATCTATTGCTGCTGGTGGGGATCTATTGTTGCTGCATGGGGTCTGTTGTTGTTGTTGTTGGCTGCAGAGGATCTATTTTACTGTTTTTCTTATCGACAAATTCCATACAAATTATTAAACACCACAAAATGATACTTGGTTCTTTATTCTTTAAAAGAGGCAGAACTGGGAGTTGGATAGGGGGTGGAACCAGGGCTGCTGTTATAAACTACAGGGCCCCATAAAGCCAACCTGACAGCCCCCCCCCCCCCCCAAGAAAAAAACTTTTCTAGGGTTCATTTATGAATGAACACAGTGAGTGATCGATACCAATCATTCATTGTGTTTATTCAGGAAAGGAAGGGGCTGGTAAATGTGACATACTTGCTGAACCCTTCCGAAACTCTCCATCCTGAAGGATCCTATTGTGTGCTTGCAGCTGCTGGTGGAAAGGAAAGGAGGGAAGTCAGCAGTACTGTGGGGGTGTGGGGTACACGGGGAGGGGGGGGGGGGCCTGGGCAGCAGATTGAAACGTATGGGACACAGGAAGGAGTGCAGTGGGGGGCAATTACTGGAACCAGGGGCGGACTGACAACTCATGGGGCACCCCGGGCAATAGGGGATCATGGGGCCCCTGTGTCCTTGCCCAAACTCAAAATGGCCTATGAAAAAGGTACCAGGGGCATCTCATGGGGCCCCCTACTGACCCAGGGCCCTCGGGCAGTGCAGTGCCGAGTTTCCAAATGGTCAGTCCGCCTCTGATCTGAACCCATTCCCTGCGTGGCTGAAAGTCGGCGAGAGGGAGAAGAGAAGAAGCCGGCTTTCAGCTGCCTCAGATGAAGCTATACAGAGAATTGGCTCCAGTAATTGACCCCCCACCATGCAGATCACCCTCCCTGCCCACATCCAATTCACACAGCTGCCTGGGCCCCCCTGCTGGTCTGGGCCCCATACAGGAAGACTGGTGGTGTCCCCTTATCCATGGCCCTGGGTGGAACAAGCGGTACCCAGAGGTGGGTAAGGGCGGAGTCAAGAGGTGACTCGGAAGAAGGGAGTACCTGCACACTTTGAACCCTCTCTCTCCCTTGAGCCCATCTAAGTACTTCCTTCCTCACTTGTCACTTTACAGAGAGATACTTCACTGCAAGCCTGACTTCCACTTTGCAGCTCCATTTTATGAATGGGTTTATCTAACTGCACATGCCAAATTGAATAATGATTTCCCAAGAAGAACTGGAGGGTGCTTTAATATATGATAAATGCCCCTTTCTGTTTGGTGTCCATAGCCACAGGAGAACAAAAATTTTTGGCTTTCACTTATTTTATTGGTTTGATTTTGTTTAATATCAGCCATGTCATTTTATTGGCTTTATCGCTCCCCAATGTAATTACAACTGTTATTAATAATCACTATAAATAACATTGTGGTAATAAATGTCATACTTTTAAATGATACTTTAACATATTGCAATTTCTTAAGACTTGGCAGCAGCAAGTGATGTTCTGGATGAACTGGAGCTCATGTCTACGGGGCTAAAGAACGACATCAATTACATCCTTCTCTTCATCTTCTACCCAGCTCCAGGAACGCAGGATGGATGCTATGGGAAGACCACTACATGCCTTCCTCTTTTTTTATTGGAGGTGTATTATTGTGAAAAAAATCATTGCAAAGGAACATGAATCATCTTTAAAGTAAAACTCCGACTTTAATTTAAAAAAAAAAAAAACCTCAAGGTCAAAACTCCCCTGATGCTCTGAGTTACCTTAGTATTTACTAAGAATTTCAAAAGGCTTGTGGCTTAAGGTGAGAGAGAGAAAAGAAAAGGCAATCGGACAATATCTTTAGGCTGGAGGCACGTTTGCAGCACGGTACTGTGTGTGCGTCACCACAATGCATAGTAAAGCAAATAACATGAGTTACTGCAATATGGTGGCATTTACATTGAATGGCACCCCAATACACTAAGGCACTACACCTGCATTATAGTGTGTCCCAAAGCATAGTAGTGTGTTGCCATGCTTTGGATTACCATAAAGGTTCATGTGTGATTTTAAGCATGTTAAGTTACATAGTCTGGCTTAAAAATTACGAAAGTCCATCCAGTTCAACCATTAAAAAAAAAAAAAACAGTTATAATCCTATCCCCACAGTTGATCCAGAGGAAGGCAAAAAAAACCCCCAACAAAGCACGATCCAATTTGCTCCTGCAGGGAAAAAAATTCCTTCCTGATCCCTCGAGAGGCAATCGGATATTCCCTGGATCAACTTTACCTATAAATGTTAGTATCCAGTTATATTCTGAGTATCTGAGAAACAATCCAGGACTTTTTTTCAAGCAATCCACTGAGCTGGCCAGAACTGACTCTTGGGGGAGTCTATTTCCACATTTTCACAGCTCTTACTGTGAACATTAAGTCATTTTGAATAGACTGCCTTAGAGGGTTAGTTCACTGGGAATGAGCTCAGTTATGTTCAGGGATGGGATGGATTTTAAGGAAACCACACTTTTTTTCTTATTTTTTGAATGGGGTTTCCCTAAAACTCAAAACACACCGAAGGTCTAGTATGGATTTTGTTTTTTTTTTTTTTTTTTGCATGAGGTCACATTTGACATCCATACCAGACATTCACTAAGGATAAGGGTCTGGTATGTATTTTTAAGTGGAACTCCATGCTCTTTTTCTGTGGATGGGGTCCCCCATTAACATAGGATAAGGTCATTGTGGGGTTCCTATTTAATATCTATACCAGACTCTCATCTAGGATAAAGTTATTGTGGGGTTCCCAATTAACATCTATATCAGACCCTCATCTAAGAGGTTATTGAGAGGTCCCCCATTTACATCTATACTAGACCCTCATCTAAGATGAAATTAATGTGGTGTCCCCCATTACCATCTATACCAGAGCCTTATCTAGGATAAGGGTAATGTGCCCCCCCCATTAATGTCTATAAAAGAGCCTCATCTAGGATAAGGGTAATGTGCCCCCCCCATTAATGTCTATAAAAGAGCCTCATCTAGGATAAGGGTAATGTGCCCCCCCATTAATGTCTATAAAAGAGCCTCATCTAGGATAAGGGTAATGTGCCCCCCCTATAAAAGAGCCTCATCTAGGATAAGGGTAATGTGCCCCCCCCCATTAATGTCTATAAAAGAGCCTCATCTAGGATAAGGGTAATGTGCCCCCCCCCAGAGCCTCATTAATGGGTCTATAAAAGAGCCTCATCTAGGATAAGGGTAATGTGCCCCCCCATTAATGTCTATAAAAGAGCCTCATCTGAGACAAGGGTAATGTGCCCCCCCCCATTCATGTCTATACAAGAGCCTCATCTAGGATAAGGGTAATGTGTGGCCCCCCCCCCATTAATATCTATACGAGAGCCTCATCTGGGATAAGGGTAATGTGTGCCCCCCCATTAATATCTATACGAGAGCCTCATCTGGGATAAGGGTAATGTGTGCCCCCCCCATTAATATCTATACGAGAGCCTCATCTGGGATAAGGGTAATGTGCCCCCCCCCCATTAATATCTATACAAGAGCCTCATGTAGGATAAGGTTAATGTGCCCCCCCCCCATTATTATCTCTATGAGAGCCTCATCTGGGATAAGGGTAATGTGCCCCCCCCCCCATTAATATCTATACGAGGGCCTCATCTGGGATAAGGGTAATGTGCCCCCCCCCATTAATATCTATACAAGAGCCTCATTTAGGATAAGGTTAATGTGGCCCCCCCATTATTATCTCTATGAGAGCCTCATCTGGGATAAGGGTAATGTGCCCCCCCCCATTAATATCTATACGAGGGCCTCATGTAGGATAAGGGTAATGTGCCCCCCCATTAATATCTATACAAGAGCATCATCTAGGATAAGGTTAATGTGGCCCCCCCATTAACGTCTATACAAGAGCCTCATCTAGGATAAGGGTAATGTGTGCCCCCCCCCCCCCATAATATCTATACGAGAGCCTCATCTGTGATAAGGGTAATGTGCCCCCCCATTAATATCTACACAAGAGCATCATCTAGGATAAGGTTAATGTGGGCCCCCCCCCCCATTATTATCACTATGAGAGCCCCATCTGGGATACATTAAGCACTTTCCCGCCTACCTATAGCAGATATACTGCTTCAGGGCAGCAGGGGTGAGCAAAATCACGTATATATACACACGCACGAGCCCTACCTGCGCTGCTATTCACAGCCTGGGCTGTCAATCACCGGGTCCCGGCTGGTGATTACACGCCAGCACCCGGTGATTGAGGAGCATTAGCGATGGAGGGAGAGAACTGTATGTAAACAATACAGATCTCTCTTCTGTCAACTCCTGCACACTGCTTTGCATGGCTTTGCATAGTACAGCCTTAGAAAGCAGTGTGCTTACAGTAAAACAGCACACAGTTAACCCTTTGATCGCCCCACATGTTAACCCCTTCCTGCCCAGTGCCATTAGTACAGTGTCAGTGCTTTCTATTAGCATTGATCATTGTATTGGAGTCACTGTCAGTGACACCAAGTCAGTTCCCCCCCCAGTGTCAGAATGCCAGCCGCAGTCCCGCTAAGTTGCTGATCGTCGCCATTACTAGTAAATAAAAAAATTCCAGTATATATACCACCATTGTAAACACTATAACTTTCACATAAAACAATTAATTTACATGTATTGGTATTTTCTTTAGCAAAGACATGTCGCAGAATACATTTTGGCTGAAATTTATGACGAAATTTGATTTTTAAATTTTTTTACTGGATATGTTTAATAGCAAAAAGTCAAAAATATTGTTTTTTTCTCAAAATTGTTGTTTTTTTTTTATAGCTCAAAAAATAAAAAATGCATAGGTGATCAAATACCACCAAAAGAAAGCTCTATTTATGGGTAAAAAAAAGATGCAAATTTCATTTAAATGCAGTGTTGCATGACCGCGCAATTGTCAGCTAAAGTAACGCAGCGCCGTAATGTAAAAAATGGCCTGGTCAGGAAGGGGGGGTCCAATCCTCTTTGTCTATAAACAGAATGAAGCCACCGGGAGCTGTCATTTACCAGCAATTTAAGTGGCATTTTTTTTTCATGTCAGTTTTTCTGTAGCTGATTATATACATCTTGCAGAATGCACCGCTTCACAGGCAAGTCCTACAACACTTCCCGTCCCGGGTGACAAGACGATTTCTGCGTGAATATACTACGGTAAGTGAGTGTTGTGGCTCTAGGACAGAAAGGGGGGGATTTATAAAAAAATTTCACCCAGTGAAAGTACATTTGTTCCATGCGAATAGGGCAAAAAACCAAAATAAGAGGCTATTTCCTGTGCTAATTAAATGCTTTTCATTGATTTAAAAACTGAAAATACAGCATTGGGCCACTGCATGGTGCTAAGTATCATAGCAACAGTGCCATCTAGTGGCCAAATGCTGTATTTTACATTTACATCAATGCAAAACATTCGAAAAGCACAGGAAATTGTCTAATAACTTTCATTGGGTGAATCGCTATGCATATTTGTTATAAATAAGGCTTTCTTTTCAGCAGGAACGTGGGGGAATGCAGTTTCAGTACATCTAGCAC